TTTTTCACTTGCGCCTTTCAGGTGAACGACAGCCACTGACCGACAAGAACAAAACCAACCCGGGAAACTTGGGCAAAAGCCTCGATCCTGTGTGTCAATCCGTGAATCCGTGCAGAAGCAACAAAGGCAGTTTGAAGAAGCGCAACCGAAGTTCATTGAATCACTGACCCAGCCTGCATATCCATATAGCAGAAGCCAGTACTATCGAGCTTTCTGTTTCATCAACTGATGCAGCCGCGGCCTAAAGCGCGGAGTTCGCATTCGACACTCGTTCTCATCACACTTTTGACTCCTGGTTCAAGCGGTACGAAGACATTTTTGCGACTGTTTTTCCCAAGTTTGATGACGGATGGAAATTCAGATTACTACTGCATACATAAATTTCGTTTTCTTCTAGCTGACCCGTGACCTCAACTTTGATGAAACGGCCAGAACACTGTCCCAGATATTTAGCGATCAAACATTACTGTTCAATATTCGTTACCAGCGCCTAAAGTTGTTCAATAAAGAGGATGATGATTTCATCACGTTTGTCGGTGTTTTCGATCGGGAATGCGAGCGCTTCAAGCTGAGCTCAATGACGTTGAATCAGTCTAAGTGCCGCATTTTTGTACCCGGTCTCCTGTCATCCAGAAATGCTGTCATCAGTACCCGAATGCCTAACAGAATTGAACAGGATGCTGAGATGACGTTGCAGAGGCTCACCACGGAATGTCAGTGCCTCATCAACCTGAAGCACGACACGGCTACAATCAGCCAGTCACCCATTACTTCAAGCAGTTGTGCGCGCGCGATCAACCTCAGGGCACCAAAGAAATCTGACAACAAGCCAGACCAAATACGGAGTAAGTTTCCCACAAGCTGGCGTTGCGGTGAGTGGCATTTTGCTCGCTATTGACGGTTGAGGCGTCATGAATGTTCCGGGTGCAGTCGTCATGGCCACAAAGAAGATTTATGTCGATCTCAAATGTCACAGCCATCTGCACACCACAGTGCCGCCCATAAATCGCGGTCCAACTCGGTATCGACGAAATTCACATTTGATTCTGCTTTCCGAAGGAAGTTCGTGACAATTCGGATCAAAAATATTTCAGTTCGTTTACAGCTTGGGACGGGCTTCGACGTCACCTTTCTCAATGAACGAACCTGGGAACGAATTGGTAAGCCGCTTGTGAAACCGACCGAACATTGGACCCATAATGCTTCTGGTGGTAAGCTGAAGTTGACTGGCGAGGTTGACTGCTCCATAAGCTTCAATGGCTCGACGGCATAAGCCACGTTCTACCTGACGTCATGCCCCAAACTTGATCTCATGGAGCTGAACCTGCTGGAGAACTGAATGTCTTTACATCAGCTGACGTGTTCGAGAGGGCTAGATGGTCGATACGCGTACCCGCATGTGGCAATGATCGGAGTCCAATGGTGTACCCTAAAATGAACTGAAAACTTGTATCGAAGCTGTTCACCGGTAGCTGATCACCATGGAGTCCAACGGAGTCCACGGCTGGCTTGTGGTTTGTGGCCTCCAAGTCACAATATGAGCGTTTATGTTGAAAGTTTTTATTGCCTGGTAAATGATTATTCAGCATCTAACTAAAGGAACCGTTCCCCATAAGGTACGGCGACAGTCAACGTCGCAACGGCCGCCAAGACTTAGTAGACCAACCTTCGCATTCATATCATCCGCCAGAATCACGATATATGCACTTCTTGCTGACCGAAGCAACAGTGACAAGTCTCTATAGAGTCTGTTTTTGTCTACCTCAGACCTGCTGCCTGTCTGAGCGTATGCGCCGATCTCTATTAAACTAATCAGCCTGGCAGCGCGAAGACGACGTTTTACTAGAGCCCAGTCCACTTAGGCACATTTAGCCCAAGGACTAAGCACAGTTCCCTCGCCGTAGATACAATGAGCCCTTGCATCGGGATCAACGGACACGCGGAGAGTAAAGTGCGAGAAACCTGGGCTCGTTCCGAACGATTTGATATGTATGACCCAACTTGGGTTTTGTGTGCGTGTTTCGGAGGCACAACATACATTGGTCGAAAGAGAGAACAAGATGAGAGCAAGACCTACCTGTTGCGCAATTTGGCATAGAATATAGACTTTGAAATCGTCAGTGTGAAACAGATTTTCTGAATTTCGTAAGGCAATTAAGGTTTACACATGTACTACCTCTAGGGGCTGTATTGCAGGCCAGCTGAACCATTCCTCAGGATGGTCCGCACATCTGTCCCACCGGCGCCTTTATGGATGGATTAATAGGCCGTCTTTTTCACCTGTCGTTTCACCGACCATTGTTTCAATCTGACCAGTCTATCTTAGTACTTTGTATAGGTGATCTCTTTCCAGTAGCAAAAGCATCTCGTCCTTCAAAGCTCCCAGCCTTTCTTTAAGCTCTTCAATATTTATCGTGTTAGGGAGTTGGGCGCGCCGTCGTACTCGTTGCTCGTTGGTATGGATTTCTCGGCGTCATTCAGGAGGATATCCTTTAGTCACTTGATCGTACCGAAGTCTGAAAGATTTCCGTATTTTATAATGCTTCACCCACGTGCTCTCTACCAGTATAGTGGTGGTTTACTGTTGAGAGTAGTTGGGCTAGCTCAAACTGATACTGCTCAGCTATGATAGTTCTCTCTAGATGGTGAGTAAGCCCGCATCTTATTAGCCGGCGAGGGTATGAAGGAACGTGACTTGTATGAAAGTGTTCGCATCATTGCATGAGCAGAATCAAGTTGCGCCCCAGATGTAACGGCACTCTTGAATTATAGATGTCCGCCGATGGTTGATAGCCATGTGATTCAACTGGGTCCATGATTGATTTACACTTGGTTGAGTTACATTGCGAGCCTTCCTGTCAAAAATTCGTGCTAACCAGAAGCAGTTCATGGTCAGCACAGAACTGGAAGAGTCGTCTGTGCGTCGAGCGCTGGCTTCAAATCGACCGTCCAGGTGCAATTCCGAGGAGCTTGGACGACCGAATTGGGCACTCGTATCGCCCGTAAGGATCACAATGCACGATTGTGGACATCCCAGTATTGACTGCATGAAGGCACTAAAGCATAGTTATGTCTACTGGCCGAACATGGATAAGCAGTTAGAAGAACTTTTATGAAAGTGCTCAAAATGCAAACTATGTGCAAAATTCCTTCGGAAAGGAGGATTATGTTCATGGCCTTTCTAAGAAACCCATGGTCACTACTTTATGTTGATTTTGCGGGACCAATCAATGACCAGCAATCTTTGTTCCTAGTGGATGCTGACAGCAAGGGACCGTGTTCCTGCTTGTGCTACCGTTTCAAAACTACAACATGTGTTAAACCATTTTAGATTTCCGAATATCATTATCTCTGGCGATGGTAGTGTATTCACATTCGATGAATTTTCTGCTTTCTACCCGATCACCACCGTTCCATCCACAATCAAATAACCCAGTGAAAAGATTTGTAGACACTTTCAAAAGCGCACTCTTAAAACTCAGAGGGAAGGTGACCACACCGGAAACCATCGAGACATTCCTACCGAGTTACGGGGTGATATCAAGTGGTAAACCCCTGACAGAGGTACTTATGAACCGGAAGACCCGTTTACCCGTTAGCATCGTCCGTCCAATACCACATTCGCCAACCTGTAAAAACAAAAATATGGAAATTCAGTCCAACCGATATCACGGTGTGCCTGATTGGAGACGTTGCAAGATGTGGCTGCCAACCGATGTCAGTGGCATTCTTGTGGTCAGTTTCTATCTAGATTGTCTGAACGAGTGTCTGGAGGTGTAGGCACTTCGGATTGATTGCAGTAAGCTAGCACTAAATCCCTGTCCCGTTTATCTTCACTCTTTTCTTCACAACAAGGATTTCAAATAAATCATGGTTGTACAGCAGCGAAGCCTCAGTGTCGAACACTGACGCCATACTGTCGATGATGATGATGACCAGAACTTTCAAAAAGTTGCATACCTAGGACACGGACGGATCAAGTACGGAATCCCATCGTCCCAGTACAATTCAACCCACAGCAGCAATTTTACGATCAATGACTTCAAAGGGGAAGTGTTGAGAGTGTTGCTAACACTCTGTCTCATAGACTGAGACCTTGTGTTCTCCATTTTGGTCTTTCGTTGAAATCCTCTTAGACTGTTAGCTCTTTGCGTTCTGGTTCATTTGAATTTCATATCACGGAACTAATCAGCTGTTTGCAGGACAACTTCCTCAAGGTCGTTTGTCTACTCGATTCAGGTGTAACAGATAAGTCTGACTGATACATCAGTAGAAACAACAAGTATAAGGTCAGCGTAAGTATTGCCTGCTTGCCAGGTTGAAATAGAGTACGGACGTCGAAAGCCCCTATGTAGCAAAGTTTTATGTTTATTGTCAATAGGCAGCGAGGTGTATGAGACACTTCGGTCAAACAACTGACAATCTAGTGACCAAGCAACGTTTGTTGCTGGGTCGAGTTGGACCAAGCGATTATAGCGCGAATTTACCGATCGGAAGGTCTGTGGTTCGAACCCGACCTCTTCCTCTCGAGTTCCCTTGTCTAGGCTTGGGCCACCTGGCAGTATCCCAGCCTCATGCCTCCATATGGCACGTCAGCTAGGCACTGAAAGGGTGCTACAGCTGAGCGAGCAACGTTTGTTCACGTCGTGGAAAGGGACATTAGTAGAGAAAGAACTGTGTGAGCAAGTGATACTTCCATTTGCCGAGGCCGAAGAAGGGGGTTTGTTTGAGGTATCCCTCCTCGGGCTTTTGGCTCAAGAGTTTGACCCACAATGCAGCAGACAGTGGGATTTTCTTTGGGAACCTTTCTCGGAGCTGATGATTCAATAGTCTGACCTGCTCAGGTGCAGTGGGTTGACCTGATCCGAGGACACGGAGTAAGGCATTACTCTCACTCCCGATGCGGCTGTGCACAGCAGGTACCTTTTGAGCAGCACCGGACTATTTAATCTTAAAAGTATTTCGACCGTACTGAATGATTCACCGGCGGTCGCGGTCAACCGTTGGGCGATCGGAGTGTGTAGTTTTTAGGGCCGGCTTTTTCCAACCCGTCCTTCCATGGGGGAGGCAGCATCGCTGCTACCATGAATTTTGACATGCTGGTCGTCTGGGGGAAATACCTTACTATCTTCACACTTCTATCGCAGAGGAGAGTGTGAATTGACCCCCGGACCGCTTCGGTGCTCTTGGCCCGACTGCTCCTATTCAGCATAGTTGCACTTTGTAGAACGAAATTCTAGCCAGCATAGCCCGCGGGATCTTTCCAGCATTCAACCCCGACCGCCGGTGTCCAGGTGTCAGCTTTGGGTCCGAGTTGCTTATTTTGACCGATGTTTATTTTTTTCCTTGAATGAAGGTGTATATTGATTGCTTCGATTAATGCTTCAGTCGCTGCAGTTGATTGTGTGTTTGTCTTCGCCATCCGACCTTGAAGTATGGTGGACACAGAAAGTCAAAGGAATGGAAGAGGCCCAGAAAGCCGGTAATGCCCGAAGATTGTTTCAGTTGATCCGTGCGACCGGTCCCCGGAAAGCACCTGCGAGCGAAACCATCAAGCATCAGAATGGAACGACCATCGCGAACAAAGAAGAACGCCTCGACCGGTGGGCTGAATACTTCGAACAACTGTCATGGCCACCAGCCGGCACCCATCTAGAGCCCACAGGTGAAGTAGAACCCTGGACGGTGAACGTGGAACCACCTACGGCCTCGGAGGTTTACGACTGCATATG